AACAAGTTCTTGGAAATGGCCCGTACTGTTTCAGAATCAGTGGTACCTGTACCGTAAGCTAATGTTAACAGCCCGTGAGCTGATCGGTGATGCAAGAGTATTGAATGACGTAATCAACAAAGTCGTTTTAAGTCTCATGAAAACCTGCTAAACCTAGGTATTCACAATGGCGGTTGTGGCAATCCGCTCGAATATCATGATGGTGTTTAGGAACAAAATCTCCCCGTTTACTGTAAGCTGTATGTGTATAAATTTAATGAAGCGGTTCAGTTCCGAATGGGTAGTGCGATGAACAGAGGATGTCATGGACACGTTATGCTCACAATAGAAGAATCAAATTTCCACCTATTAGACGGCCAGCGTAGCGGCCGCAGGCCGCTAGTATATATTAAATGCTTGGCCTCCGTGTGTATGTCCACAAGTGCACTGGGGCGCATGTGCGGCGCCTTCATGCCTGCCTCTGGGTGTAAGTCTCCCTCTCTTCGGCTAGCACTTTTTTCCGGCCGTTGCGACAGTGATCTATTTTCGATAACGTAACAGCTCCGAGGGGGGGGATGTGGGGTGGGGAAGGGTTCATATGGCGTAAGGTGAATAAAAAAACGATCGAACGAGCGGGTATCGAAGCTAGGACTTGCTGCTTGACGGTAAAGTATGCTTCCATTTCACCACCGAACCCAGGCGGTTAAGTAATATCTCTCCGTGCCATTCCTAACACTACCACGGAAGAGAAAGGCATTCTACGCATGCCCCCCCCCCCCTCTGGGTGATCACAACTCCAAGATGGAATTTTTCGCTGGGACGTGTGAAAGTCCCTGCGTATCACACTTGGCGTCCCTTTTCATACCTTGAGGAAGGATTACTATCTCGCTGGGGATGAAATCTCCGCCCATTTACTTCTCGGGATCCGGAAAAGTCGTATCGTAGGCACGAACACCCCTGTGAGTAGGAGGGGGATGGGGTGGGGGTGCGCAAGACGTACGACGTCCAAGCGGTTGATACGCAGAGCGTTGAGAACACTGAAATTGAACACTGAACACTGAATGGCTAATTTTGGAATTGTAAGGATCCCGCCGGTTGGGTCGCTACCATCCCGTATCCATTTCTGTATTTTCCGTATATTTCTCTCATAGGCTTGCACGCAAAGTGATGGAGTTGGTCTTTACGTAGGAAGCGAAAAGGGCTGTAATCAACAGGGAAAAGTGCCGATAAATGTTAGGGCGAAGTTCTCACCCTGGCGAGGAAGTCGTCCTCCCTTCAGCGGAATGAAAGGGGACTCCAAGGATTGTACGTGGGGACACGGAAAGAAAGGGAAAGAGTACCTGCAATGAGAGGGTCTCTGAGTTTTAGGGCCGCCGAATGAACTCGGGATTTTTTGCCGAAGAGTACGAGGAAGTCTTCCACGGGTCGGCTAGTTCACTATATATTGCATTGAAAGGATAACAGACGCGACTGCATATCCTTTCGGGGTGCAGGCTACCTCCCTGACAATGGCATCTTTGAGCTATGGAATCATGTGTTGGATCCCTCGGAACATGCGAGACTTCAGAAACTCACAGGCAAAAGTATTCTGGTGAATGTACTAACAACTTTTATTATTACCACTCGGAAGCAACGAAATGTGCTGGACACCACAGTCTTTGAACCGTTCCTTCATCTGGGATATCCGATAAACGTTGATGCGTAGGACAGCACGGCACACTGCACAGGCTGCGTGATGAAATAGTGGTAATTAGTAATGTAGTGCTGCGTGATGAAATCGTAATGTAGTAATTAGGGATTTCGAACGCGAACATGTGCTCCACCCGTTAATGTGCGTCAATTATTCTTGAGTAGGTACAGAAATTATAGGATTCCATTTCGTAATGATTAGGTTTCTCGGAAAATAAGCAAGAAGGAGAGAAAAATGGATTTTGGATCGATTCTGGGCGATACCGTGGAAACTGCGGAATGGACGTGATGCAAAAGTGTTCCTTCTCACTTCACGCTGTTCCACGAAATACCTCGCAGCTCCAGGATGGATCTCCGTCTAATAGGAGGGGAGAGGATCATCCGAGGATTCCTGAGTGCCATAGGATTTGGGGTGGCATCATCCGGATGGAATCCTTGGGTTCGACTCTACAGCGGGTTCGTCACCGTCCTTCAGCTCGCCATTATTCTGCGGACCTTCCGTTTGATAATTGAGCAATTATTATATGGCCTCTCGGATTTCTACCTCTCCATTTTCATCTACGTCGATCTCCTGACTCAAGTTTTCATTTTCATTCTTTCCCTGGGTGACCTCCGCTTGCAACGCAGAATCACTTCTTTGCTGGAAGATGCTCGAGGCATTCAAGCATTTGCCTCATCTGTGAAAATAACGACATTGAATCGACGTCAACACCTTTTCGCCGTTGGTGTAGTGATCGTCTTTGTCATCGTCAGCATCCTATTTGCCGTATTTGAACATTTCTCCGAGAAATCTCAGAATTCGGGTTGGTCAGCAATATATGATGCCGTGCTCCTCATGATTTCCATGAGATTCATGGTAGCACCCACTCTACTACTCATTTTCCTATTACAATTCGCGGCAGAAAAGTTCACAGAGATTAACAGAGGGTTCCAGGATTCCGACACACCCGATATAGTCCCTCTGATGAAGCTCCACTTCAAGTTGGCAGAGTTCGTCGACGGACTCTCGGAGGCTTTCAACGTCTATTTAGTCGTTTTGACTGCGTTTTGTTTCATGTTCTTCACCTCGAACTTCCTGGTGGTGATCTTTGGTGGAATTATCATCGCCCTCCGAGCATGCGGATTTCAGACCGCCCTCGCCTTAAGCCTTCTCTATGCAGTGGTTTCGTGGGGACAAAGCGTGAGCAACAGGGTGAGTTGAATTATGAAACTCATCACAAATGTGTGGACTAGTCAATTTCATGCTTGGCAAGCGTGCATCATTCTGAAATTCTCATGGAATATTTATTAGTGGAATACGGTCACTAAGTAGTGAAATATGGTGTACTCTCTAGTACATCCTTAATGTTTATATATCATCTGTCCAGACTGTGATGAAAGTCCTGAGGCAAAAGAAAACGCTGCATCTGAATCTTCATTTAGATTGAGAACTATGCGATATAGACATGAAAAATTGTATGGAAAATGAGTAGCTCCTACCACTAGGTATTATTGGAAAAAATTTAGGTCTTAGAGTCTTGTTTAAAAATGAAACTATTAGGTAAATCTGATTTGTCGAATTGCACTTTCAAATTGATTTCGTTATGAGATACAGAGATCCCAATTCAATGCCCTAGTGAGTCGAAGAGAGCAAACATCAGGAGATTTAAACTCTTTCAAAATTGACAAAACCAAACAAGCAAATGAACAAAACAAAAACAAATGCACGAGTGTCAAACACGAAAGTCCACAAATTGGATTAGGGGTGTTTATATATCAACTGAAAAGATGCTCAATGTGCTCTGCATTATGTTGAACACTAGCCTCTTGTCTGGGAAACCACAGATCATGGGCTTGGTCAATAATTCTTCTTTGATTTATGTTCCCAAGATTAGATTGAAAATCACTTCGCACAAGCAGCAGTAGCTTAAACTCGCGATAAAAAAAATCCTGATGATCCAAGGAGTTTTACCCAATTTGTAGCTGTGAACATCGAAAAGGGATGCTTCAAATGTATGATTATTAATCTTTTATGAAGCGAACCGCGCCGAAGGCGCGTTCAAGGCGAGTTTGTCAGGCTACATTCGCCATTCCATAATATTTTTTTTATGTCAGGCTTCATTCGCCATTCCATAAGATTTTTTTTATGTCAGGCGAATATGTCCACCAAACTCGCAAGGCGGTTGGAAATGGATGACCTTGACGGACGCTCGAGGAAACAACTTCAATTGTTCCTTTCGTCTCTTGCCTGTTCGCCCGTGAAGCTGTCCGCTTGCGACTTCTTCACCATTGACAAGCGAATGTTTCTCTCGGTAAGCTTGCATCGGATCAGCATGCCTAAATTCTCCTCTCTGTTGTTATCTGATTTTTCCCGCGCCGTTTCTCATAGGTGTTTGCAGCGGTGTTAGCTTACATCATCTTATTCATCCAGTTTGTCACTCCTGGTAACATTTCTTAATTTTCAATTAAGAGACATCGGACTAAACGTCACCTACACATCTGGCTCCTTGTACCTTTATTGAATTGTTGCTGTATATTTATTTGGACTTCTATGCAGGCTTTAAGTGCAATGTTTCATGTCAGTCGTATCCTTGTCCTCACTCCTTTGCTAAAATGAAATTGTGGTGTTTTTATGATCGGGAGCTATTCATCCAGGAAATGTGGACACCATGCAATAAAGTGCACTGTATCCTAGTCAATGGTTTATTTTAATTAGTGATTTTCTTTAAAATCCTGTTCCATATTTCTTGCCGGGAGTGATGGAACTCCGGCTTCCAAATTGTAAGATGAAATCCGTAAAAGCCGGGACAAGCAGGATCTCCAATGCACAACTCAAGGACTCAGACCTGACCTCCGACCTCCTCCGTCCCGGAGTCCAAAAAATCGACACAGGATTAAGGATCCGCCACGATGTGAGGTAGGACGAGTGGCAGGCATGGATGGTTCTCCTCCTCAACTCCAAAAATTGGTATTTCAAAGAACAAGTCTTCGAAAAGCGAAATCATTTTTTAGGGTAATGGCACCAGTTCGTGGACGGGCGTTTATTTTTGGACGGTTTCGCGTTTTCCGCCATTCCAAATAAATATTCCCAGGATATTCATAATCTTCACTGTTCCGTGTTATGCGCATGCCAGTCGGCCACCATATAAATTATGCCTGCCTATTAGCATGAGTCAACTTAAGATGGGGAATTTGAAAAGAAGGATTCCAAGCCAATTGTCTAAGACATGGAACATTCTAACTTGCAGGATTTCAAATCCACGGAAACCCATCCTTTGGTAAGAAAATGTAATTATTGGATTAAATTAGGGTCGTAACTTGCAGGGTATTGTCAAATTACACTTGTGATACTTAACACTAACAATGGATTTAAATCCTCGGGTTAGGAAAAGGCATACCTTCACGTCCCTTTACTTTCTTCTAGTATGATACCAATAATCAACAAAAATTGATAATGAGAAAAACATGACTTTCATGAGGCGTCTTTGCCTCAATTTGAGCATCTTGGAGTAATTCTTCAGGCCTGATTATTTGTCCGAAAACATGGAGTAAATTCTATAAAGGATGATTACTGTCAGGACAAAATATGTCATTTCCAATTGCATCGGTTTCATTGAAAGACAATTGCATGGATAATGCTGTCAAGCTGGTTCAATGGCCTCGATGAGAAGAATATTGCCCACGTTATGCACATTTTGAAATCAATAATGCAAAGAAATTCGAAAATTGCTTATAAAAATTCTCAAATATTTATTAGATATTTTTCTGTACCGTTAAGTTCTTGGGTGACCGATTTGAGCATTGAAAATGCGATTAAATGCATTTCCAACTAACACACCATTAATAGATGTATGCATGGATGCATAACGTCCGTCAAAGTAGTACAACTTAATGCTGTGTCTCCTTGAGAGTGTCATATACGATCCCTATTGAACAATTACTAGTGGCAGGTAAACCCGAGGCAAACCGGAGGAAACGAAATGCTTTGTTGTCGTGGAAGTAGTCGCCATGATCTTCAGAGACTATAACTCCGAGTAGCTCCCTTCAATGAAGGTTTCATTTAAGGTACTGTCATCGTACAATTAAAGTCCATGGGATCGTTGTATTGACTGATTAAATATCTGAAATTTTGAGAGATAAAAAAACAATTCAGTTCAATTCAGGCGTTTCTTGAAGTATGTGAACTCATATAGGACAAGAATTGGATATTTCAAAGAAAATAAAGGGTTCTATTAACTTCCTTTTCCAGGCATCATCCAATATGCAATGAACATATTGGATACGTTCTTTTCATCACTTGGTTGCAGCCAGTCTAAGCCCAGCTCTCGTGAGGGGTCAGAGGAGTTTATGGAGTCAAATAGTCTGGTTGAATCTTCCCTTTTATGGAATAGTCTGGAGGAGAAGCGTGTGGTAATTGTCGTTCTACGTAAACCTCCACGACATTCGCAGTTACTTCATACTCAGAATCTGGACACACCCTGTACGGTATTCCCTTCTCACGGGATGGATGGTAACTATTTATATCCTTTCAGTTTCAATCCTCTTATGCATGAAGTGACCCTCGAAATTGAACCAGCATCCCTCTATCTTTCGAGCCAGTGTTTTCTCGAGACCCTTTGGACTGGGTTGCCTCTTAAAAGACCAATTCGTTGAGAAATTCAAGTATCGTCCCCTCTGGTTTATGAGGGGAACGATCGGCTAGCGCGTGGAAGGAATTGCGGACTATTCCAGCTGTATCAGTAATTGATCCGCTATGTGCGACTACTTTGGCGTCATCTAGCGTCGGTTGTGCGAACCTTTATTCATGCCATTGTCAGATGGATACCATAGATACGCTTGAGGAAAATATATGTAACGCTCAACCAGTGTCCTTCAAATGCCGCATGTTTGGTTATGAAACGACACCTGACTAGAGCGCACGAAAGATGCTCATTCGCGTGCATCGAACGTCCAAAATTGAACATAGTTCGAACGTCCTCGAGAGCGTTAACGTGCTACCTGGACACGATCATATGTTTATTATAAAGCCTGCAGGTCTCATTCACCCGTGATTATCCTTAACACCCGACAATGTAAATGGAGCATGTTTGTGTTATCAAAGGTGAAGAAAAAGTATTCAGTCAAATCCCGGAGCTGAAACGGCATTGGAACATTAAGCGCGCCGATGTCATTTGTCAAAGCTCATTTCACCAAACATTTAACGTGACACCTCAGCACGTAAATGGATCACAGTGCCCATAGAGCGAGAAAAAAAGTATACATTGGGTTATAGTTCGAAAGAAGCTCACTAAGTGGAGTACCCTGACGATGGTGTCACACACTGCAATCAACAACACACCTCAGTGTCAGCGCACAGACGCGAGACCGCAGCCACAGAAAATGAATCAACCCAGATGTGCAGGAGTCCCAGTCTGGGAAACATCAACGGCTAGCATCGTACATAATCTCAAACGAATAGAGGAATACAGAGAACATGCAGCAAAAAGGACTGTCACGATTCGCAGACTACCTCTTATATGTACTCTTATATTTACTGGGTCCCGTGTCCCCATACTTTTAATTTTTTGTCATCTACCAATGCAACTACGATACGGGAAAACAATACAACCTTTAATGGACTCTCGGGTTCCGTCTTTCATCATGGACGCTTAAAATCCCTTTATTCCGGCAGCAGACGCTAGGCACTGCAGTGAGCGATGCTACTACTCCCTTGCGAGTAACAAAGCAACTCTCGTATTCTCCTTTATCCGAGAGATGAGACGAGAGCGAAACTGCGATTTCCCATGAAAGTTGCCTCCACTCCCTTTTGTGAAACCGATTTGCACATTTCATTTCGAAATGGCACATCCTCAAGTTCATATCTCGAAGCGTTTGGCCTTAAAAGCTGTCACACACACGCACACACACACACACACAATTGTCGCTCGGCTAAGATGGCGGCCAGGATCCCGCACGCTATATTTTTGACCTCTGGGTTGAATAATCCCACAGTGTATCAAAAGCAGTTTTCTATCGACCCGTAAAAAAAATAGTATGTTCACTGCGAAAAAAGTTTAATGATCGCATACGCGCAAGAGGCAGAGAATCAAATTGATGTCCAGTTCCATTGCTAGGTCTGTTTCCTTGGAGGAGGCTCTTATCCAAAAAAAAATGAAACTCCTTGCAAAAAAAAGTGTTCATTAAAAGTTCAGAACATCACTCGGGAAAATGAGCAAATATTAGCCATGGAAACGCCAATCATTATCCTGACATCAATGGAATGTTGATATCGGGAAATGTATGTGGAAATTAGAGGGAGTGGCACATCGATTATAAATATCGAACTTTGGAGCAGCGCAGTGGAAGAGTGGAGGACTTTTCCTTATTTGACGGCGTTCCATGGAATAGTTGAGCCGCGATGGAGCTCCCACCGATCGGAGGTGAGAGGATCATGAGAGGATTCCTGAGTGTCATTGGGTTTGGAGTGGCATCGTCCGGATGGAATCCCGCAGTTCGACTGTACAGCGGTTTAGTTACTGCCCTTCATCTCGTGCTCGCCTTGCGTACCATCTGTAGAGTGTTCCCAGCCTTCATCTCTCAGGCCGCTGGGTTTTATATGTCTTTCTACTATGTGTTTCGGCTCCTTTGTCAAGTGTTCATCCTCATCTTGGCTGTTGGTGACCTGCGAGTCCAACGCAGAATCACGTCGTTGTTTGAGGAAGCGCGACGCATCCAAGAGTTCTCTCGATCATTGAAACCACCAGTCCGGAAACGAAATTCGTATATATTCGCAATGGTTGTCGTTGTAGTTTTTGGCATCATCAGCATCTTCACACTTGGATTGAAAAATGTTAGTTTCAACAAGGAGACTTCGGTTTGGATAGCGATATTGATTTCCGTGGTAGAAATGACGTGGATTCGACTGATGGTTGCGCCTTTGTTTCTCCTCCTCTACTTTCTGAGATTTGTAGCCGACAAACTCGTCGAGGTGAATGAGAGATTTCAGGATTCGGAAATTACTAGTGTTTTTCCTTTAATTAAGTGTCATTGCATGTTGAGGGCTTTCGTTGATAATATTTCAAAGACGTTTAGTATCATCTTGGTCATGGTGTCCTCGTTTTCCATCTTGTTTCTCATCTGGAGCATCTTGACCTTCGCAGAAAAAGGTTTCGTCTATGGTCTTCAGCTTCATGGATTCGACACAATCGTTGGCCTCAGCATTCTTTACAGTTTGTCTAACTTCGGACAGACAGTAAAAAACGAGGTAAGAATGTAGCAAATATATTGAAAAGTTCATTAATAAATGTATTCATGCGGTACCCAAAATCGTTCAGACTTACAAGCCTTACACTTAGAGCTCTGGCACACTCACATAGCGGAATCTTCTATAATTAGCGGAAACTTGCAGTTCATGAGGTTTCGATTCCACCCTCGCGAAGTTCAAGGCATCCAGGTTTCATGGCAGATTAGTGGTTTCAG